AAATATTTTATGGAAGTTACCTGTTCTATAAACACTTAAAGACAGATAGACTAATGAAGAAAAAATCATAGATGACGAAACTAATAGACAAGAGAAGAGAAGCCAAAAATGACCCAGACAAATATAAAACCATAAATATATTATTAAAAACAAAAATCATAGAAGCGAAAGGAAAAGAAGCAAGGATTGAGACTCTGCAGTCAAAGTACGATAGTCACAATGTACATAGGAAAGTTAAAGAACAGGGGTACTAAGACGAAGGAAGAAAGAAAATATAACTAATTCTGATGGAAACATCATCTTGGACAAACAGAGTAAAATAAGAACGTGGAAAGAATATATAGAAAAACTATTTGAATACCAAAGAGATAACATATTTGAGCTAGAAAAAGAGGTAAATGATGGACCAAGAATATTACAGCAGGAAGCTTATTCCGCAATAACACAGTTAAAGGGCGGCAAAACGGCAGACCCTGATAATATACAAGCAGAACTACTCAAACTAATGGACGACGAATCAGTAGCAATAATCTCAAAGATATTCAATAACATATACAAATCTGGAGAAATACCAATAGAATTACTGAAATCTCTCTTTATTTGGAGTTTATTGCACTTCCAAAAAATCCAGGAGCCAAATATGCAAAGATTCCTGTACTACAAGTCTCATGACTCATATCCTAAAATTTTTCCTAAAGATAATTCATAAGAGAATCTACAAGCTGTGTGAAAGTCAAATTTCCCCCAACCAGTTTCGGTTCACAAATGCTGTTGGTACTAGAGAGGCTTAGTTCTCAGTACAAGTCTTATTTCAGAGATGCAGAGACATTAACTGCGACGTATATGCATGTCTGGTTGATTACGAAAAAGCGTTTGATTGAGTACAGCACGCCAAGATGATGCAAATACTAAAAGAAACAGGAATTAGTAATAAAGATCTGAAAATAGTTAGAAATCTTTACTGGAATCAGACAGCAAATCTCAGAGTTGAAGGTGAACACACTGACTATGTGAAAATCATGCGTGGAGTGAGACAAGGTTATATTTTGTCTCCTCTAATCTTCAATCTCTACTCTGAAAGAATATTTATCGAAACTTTGCACGAAACTGAAAACGGTATTCCACTAAATGGTATCGGCTAAACAACATCAGATAGGTATATCCACCAGACACCATAGTATTTGCGGACAACTTAGAAGACCTATAAGTTCATAAGAGAAGGTCAACTCTACGTCAATCAGTCCCCTGTAGAAAGAGTAACGCACTACAACTACCTCGGAACCATAATAAATGAAAAATGGACCTACCACCAGGAGATTAGAGCACGCATCGGAAAAGCTAGATCGACCTTCAATCGGATGGGGGCCTTCTTTAAGAGTCAGAACCTCTCTCTTCATACAAAAGTAAGAATGCTGCAATGCTACGTCTTCTCTGTCCTTTTTTATGGTGTTGAATCGTGGACATTGAACGAAGATATGTGCAGAAAATTGGAAGAATTTAAGATGTGGCTATATCGGAGAATACTGATGATCCCGTGAACTGACTCAGTCACAAATAATGAGGAGATCCTCAGAAGAATGAATAAGAAACGATAGGTACTGACCAGCATCAAATCTCGAAAGTTACAATTCTTCCGACATATTATGCGAAATGAATTCAGATATGCTCTCCTTCAAGCCATCCTGTAAGAAAAAAATATTTGGAAAACGCGGTCCAGGAAGAAGAACCTTGGACTCTTGGTTAAAGAACCTCAGAATCGGGTTTAATACAACACCTGTACAGCTTTTCCGCGCTGCTGCAGATAAAATAAAGATCGCCATGATGATCACAAACATTTGTAACGGATAGGCACATCAAGAAGAAAAAGACCTGTTCTATTATTTGTCCCTTGGCGTACAAATGTACGTTTGCTGGTATCTTGGAAATTACTAGAATTTTAGTTTTGGAAACATTTAGATGTAAGCCGAACATTTCGCGTTGTGTGTTGCTTACTATTATAACGGTACCATCAGCGAACCTGATGTCTGTGCTGGTTCCGTTAATCTTGATTCCACCTTCAACCTCGTCTAATGCTTTTTTGAATATCGATTCGAAATATAGATTAAATAATAGTGGTGATAAGACGCAACCTTGTCACACTCCTCGTCGTCGTTCGTTAATATCAAGTGCATAAAAATTATTTAACATTGATTTTCGTTCTTCATCCTTAAATTTACTGCTGCATTTTAGTCTGCTCTTTTTCGTACACAGATTTTCCAAACCAGCTATTTTTGCTGGTACAATTTCACCTGTGCTGGATGTGTAGGCTTTGCATTGTTCTCTTGCAAGTAATGCCTTAATTCTTTTCCAGGTATCGGAATTTTTTACCCTTGTGATTCTCAAAAACGGTTTCCGAATGGGAAATTGAAACGCCAATAAACTTATTTTAAACTTAAATTGAGGCTTATTCCCAATCAACACAGTAAATGCATTGAAAACTTTCCTAACCATTACTTTACTTTTTGTTCGAGACTGTATAATGTTATTATAGTGTTACACTTCTTAAAAATAACAACTATATCCGAAACACCAACAATATTACAATACTTAAAATAACTCGATGACAACTATAAACTTTAAAAAGCCAAAATGTTTTTTCAAACTGTCAACAACGTATGTTTATATACATTTTCTGACATTCTAAACTTTACCACAGAATAATAAACAATCAGAATGCCCACTATGATTGTCAAGATAAGTACGATAGTACTAAAATTTAAATTATAGTTCTGTCGTAGCCTGTCACAAATTTTTCAATCTGAGCCTGTTTCCGTTTAAAATATGGCGATCGCGTGCTGACACACTTCAAAGGCCGCATCTGAAAGTAGTAGATTCTAACTCGATGGAGAGTAGGCATTCTGATTGTTATTTTTTCTGTGACTTTACTGAACAGTTCATGATTTTTCTACGACATCTTCAATTTTAAATACTTCTTCTTTTTCGTCATAGGACTTCTTCTATATGGAATAAATCTCACGGAGCTGCCGTAACAACATTGTTATAATAGGATTACATTGACCCAAACTCATATCAGAAATAATTCCTATTGATGCTTGAGTATATAATAGATTTTTACTTCTAAATAAGCAGTGATGAATTATTTATTTGATGTTAAAAACCACCCTAAGGAGCCCACTTTTTATTTCCTTTTCGATTGCCAATTCTGAATTTAAAGTCCGCACATGAAGCTACTAAAAAGAAACTAAAACTAGTTGGTAACTAGAATTACCAACTGTTTAGTGACTGTGACTCGCACACTATGCTACCGAAAATTAATAGAAACTAGTCACTTCTTAAAAGGTATAAAAATTTGTGGACGACGCTTAAACCATCTAAGGTACGCTGATGACATCGTATTGATAACCGATAAAAAAGAAGAATTATTTGAAATGATGAAAGAACTGGACGTAGAAGTTGGAAAGATAGGCCTTAATATGAATTACAGCAAGACCAAAACTATAACAAATACAGATGAAGACATCACAATGAGGATCGGACAAGATGAAATAGAACAAGTTAAGGATTATATATATATATAATATATATATATATATATATCTTGGTCAAACTATAAAACTTAACAAAGAGAACCAAACAGCAGAGATCAAGAGACGAGTTAGACTGGCATGGGCGGCATTTGGCAAACTAAGCTACATTCTTAAAAACAAAAGATATCCACAGCAACCAAAGTATATAATCAATGCGTACTCCCTGTTCTTACTTATGGTTCCCAAACGTGAACATCTACAAAAGCAAACATGGACAAAATCATAAAAACCCAAAGAGCAATGGAAAGACAAATGTTGCACATAAGACTAATGGATAAGAAGAGAAACAAATGGATAAGAGAGAAAACAAAAGTGAGGGATGTTAGACAAGAAGTTGCAAAATTGAAATGGAGATTTGCCGGACACAATATAAGACAAAAAGAAGACCGATGGAACAAAATTCTTATAAGTTGGAGACCGTGGGAATATAAACAAAACAGAGGAAGGCCCCAAATGAGATGGGCAGATAATATCAAGAAGCACGTGGGCTCTAGATGGATGACTGTGGCGACAGACAGAGAATGGAAAAGGATTGGGGAGGCCTATGTCCAAAGATGGACAGAAGAAGGCTAATTAGATAGATAGATAGATAGTCACTTCTTGCCTGTAAGAGTAGCTTTGTTAAAGGGTGTTTAAATTTTAACCTTTATATTATATTATTGAGTGTTATTATCGCGTTAAAAATGTCTAGTTACTCAAGTGATGAAGATATTATTTTTTATTATTATAATAGAAGACGTAAAATGCAGAAAAAAAGGAGGTATTGGGTTCATCCCTACATTGCAAATAATATAAATTGCAGAGCATTTGTTGCTGCAAAAGAATTACAAGAAAGTGATGCTAAATTTCTTGCATTTTATAGAATGTCAAAAGAATCTTATTTACATTTAGTACAATTGCTTGTACCTGCTATTCAAAAGACAAACACTCCTGTTAAATTTAATTCTCTTCCTATATCATTCCAAGCCTTTTCGGTAATGTCTTTACGCCAATATTCATTTAACGTATAGTTGTATAGGCAGGGATATTTTTCCACTTCTTGCACTAATTTTATATTAAACGACTGTTCTACCAATTTCGCCATTTTCCGTGTTAAAAATATCACAACAAACTAGAAACTCACTAGAAACTAGTCGCCAAGCGACCTGCACGTCCAGTCTGCTGTCGACTGATCACTGATGCATTAGTGACCGGTTACTAACTAGTAGCGTTGTGTGCGGATACTGATAAAAATACATGGGCAGTAACTAATAAGTTACCTTGGTAACTAAAGTTACCAACTAGTTTCTTTTTAGTAGCTTCATGTGCGGACGGCCTAACTGTAGAAGACTAGAAGTGTATTGTCAAACTATGTCAGTGTTTTGGGACTATTTAATAAAAGGTAGTATTTAAGGGAGTTTTCTCTATGTAACATTTTTATTTATTAAAGGAATTTATAATATAATATTGTTTATTTCTTTTTACTGAATGTAGCTTGAATATCAATACAAGATTTTCCCGTATCGTGCTCCACATTTAGTTTTGCTGTAATTGTGCCGACTGCCATGGCTAGTTGATTTTTATGAGCTGATATATTAATATTTTTCTTTCCGTTAACACAGTACTTTTTCTGAAAAAACAAGAAAATTTCATTTTAGTTTAACCAAGTTTTAGAATTTATGAAATATATAAACATCGACATAAAAGACTATCAGGAAAAAATGTTATCCATAAATAAAACAGGAGGTATAAAAGCTGTCCTATTAAATCTTAGTAATGAAGCTTCATGTGCTCTTCGATATGAAGAAAGTTAACAAAAAAACGGGTGCTAGTCGTATCTGTCAGGGACCAAAATTAGCCCGTCTTTGATAATATAATTAAGAACTCAGTTTTTAGCGCTGGGCATCAACACTGCCACACACTAGAGGATTTCATCTGAGACTCAGGAACGGCAAGGAGTCTGAGATATACTCAAACAGAATGCGCTGAAATTTCTGTGACTAAATTCATCAAATTGGATTTGTGCAGTTGAATAAAAAGAAATCTACATAGACTAAAAACAATAAGGTGAGACACTAGAGATCTAGGTGATATTGATGTTCTATTAACCCTTTCATGCATTGAGTCCAGTCCAGTGGACAGATTCTTTTCTCCAAACTTCAAAAAAATATTTTAATTCTATGAAACTTGTGCAAAATGTGGACTCTAATCAAGTAACTACTAGCACCATCTACAAGATTTATTTTAAAACTCAAAGTTTGTTTATGTTGGTATCATAAATCACCTGACCGCGATGGCCACCTGTGAATTGCCTGAAATAAGTGCCCGTAGTTAATATGGAAAAGCAAAAAAAAGGTAAGAAAATATTTTTCTTATAGAATTATGTATTTTACACAATTTGCCTTTGTTATAATTTCAAAATAATAAAAAAAACTCACTGAAAATATCACCTTTAAGTCATGTCCACTAGAGTGGACAGCATGCAATATGTAACTTAGAATTCCACTCTTGTGGTATGTTTCATGAGTATAATTTTCAGAGGGGTAGTAGGTGTCTTGTTTACATTTTTTTGTTTTTTTCTTGTCAATGATTTATTATTTATTTTGGAATTTGTGAGAGCATTTTTTTATGTAGATTTACACCAATCTGCTAGTACTACTATAGAAGTGAATAGAAGATTTTCTGTTCAGTTTTATAACAAAAACATGGGAGGAGTAGACTTGATGAACCAGTTTTTGGCACTGCATCCTCTAAGGAGAGAAACGAACGCTGGTACATAAGAGTTTTTATGCACTTTGTGGATGTTCTTGTTGTAAATGTATAGATTTTGTACAAGAAAAACGGAAATCCAAAAAAAGATCTGCTTTAATTTAATGCAAGTATTGCCAGAGCAATAATAATTTGGGAATTCAGAAAGAAAATAAACGAGGTAGACTTTCGTCTATTTTGAAGAAGAAGAAATCGAATCATCATGCACTACCTAAAATTGGACAAAGTAATTGGGGTCACTGACCACAACTAATTGATATACCAAATACTCGAAGGTGTCATTTAGCTTGCAAAAGAAAAACAAAATACATTTACAAACGGTGTAACGAGCCACTGTGTCCATGTACTTTGAACATTTTCATACCAGTAACTGAAGCTTCCGCGATTCCACAAGTGCATAGCGACACCTAGAGTGGACGGACTATTTTTTAGGTTTAAAGAAAAAAATTTCATGTTTTTACTTTTACTATACTATTTTCTAATGTTAATTTTTAATATTTCGCAATAAAATAATTTTTCTAAGAAAAAAAAGTTTCTTAAAATTATGCATGAGAGGGTTAAATATTTTTAACTTAAAAGTTACTACGATCTCAATGAGGAGAAAACTTAAACACTCATTAATTATGCACTGAACAGTTTTCAAAAAAAAAGATAAAAAAGATAAAACTGATAAGTGATTTGGAAACTCTAGACAGGAATCAAAAGAATAAGAGTGTATCAATTTAAAAAAAACGTTTTATATAAAGAAATTAAAGTACACACCGCTGATTTTCCAAAAAAAGTGATACTAATTAGACTAGTTAAAAAATAATACTTACAGCAGCTACAGGACATTTTTTCGGAAGTCCATAAGCTACTAAAAGTTGTTGTGCTTGAGCTAATTGACTTCCAGCAACTTGGCATAAGTCCACGTCTCCCGTCATAGCCGGTAATGGTGCTTTAGATATTTCATAGGTTGCCTGTAATAAATTTATTCATATAATAATCTTTAAAAAATACAAACTATTAAATTATATTTGTCAAATCCGAAAATCAGCATGCGATTAGAATTGCTAATCAGCATCTATAGCCATTCATACCTTTATAAAACGGGCTATTTGCTGCCTCGACTCCAAAAACTACCCTGCTGGAATTGTTTGTGCAATTATTCTAAATAATAGAGTTAAATAAAATGAAATATGTCAAATGGTATGACGTAAAAAGTATTGTATTTTGTGAGATAACGAAGACGTTAATACATTTTAATAAATATTTTTCAAATATCACAATCAATTAAATTAAACAATCATTTATAAAATTAAAGTTTGGTTTTTTATTTAAAAAATATCGGGAAAAATATTTTTTTTACAAATAACTTTTTAATGCTGTATTGTACGTACCTTAGCGGTTTTAATCGGTTTTAAGACCTCCACACATCCGCTTACCACAATGTTGCAACTTTTATCAAGCGTTAAATCCATATCTTGTGGTACCGTGATGCTGTCATCAGCACAAGCTTTGATATGATCAATTTTTAAACTATATCCATTCTGAAAAATAAATAAAATTACTAAAATGTGTAAAAAGATATTAAACAAAGAATTAGGTCAAAAGTTTACCAACCATAATTTAGAAATTTATAAATTTAAAGAATCTACTATATAATAGAAGAGGAGAAATGGTAAGTATCAATCAATCAATCAATCAATCAATAATGCCTTTTATTTCTCAATATAAAAAAAATACAATACAATACTATTAGTGACATTTGTTCTCCTTGGCACATGCCATCAGGAGGGTTGGCAAACAAATATTCCCTAATTAATATACAAAAAATTACACAAAGGCTTATTCTATCTAACAAGGCCATTAAAATAAATAAAAAATAAATTATGTAAACATTCATATAAATGTTAGTAATAAACTAAATGTATATATCCTACTAAGTAACACTTCGCACTAGACTTAACAATAATAACAATGTATAACAGTGAAGTATAGATTACAATTGAAAAGATTGAATATCCCTTTGAGGGAGTGAAAGCTGCAGATACAACAATAATAATAGTAACAATAATAATAACAATATTAGTCAAGATAGATCAGATAGATGAAAAGACAATAGATATAAGCAAAAAAAAAATTATTAATCCTAATTTTAATATAACACCACGCTAATACATTTAGTAGTTAAATAGGCTCACTAACTCATACCTATACACCCATACCTCCCTACAATAACCTGCTAACTCAGCCTTGCCCTGTCTCATCATAGTAACTACTTCCACTCTACTAAGTTCATGTCTACCCAACTACTTTAACCTAATATGTCTCAACACCGAACAGTTTCCCAAAAAATGTATCACATCTTCCCTTTCCTTCGTGTTACACATTGAGCAGAATCTTCTTTCATCATTTCTGCCAGGTCGATCATTCAAATATAGAACCCCACATCTTAATTTAAAGAGCCATCGAATATCTCCAAAATTTTCCATTTCCAGTAGGTAATGCATGTTTACTCCTTCTTCCCGCAGTTCTTTGTAGTGTCCATAAAAATTTGATTCGAGTGCCCTGTTCTCAGCCTGACGCTGTATCTCCTCCTTCTTCTTTTCTATTATATTCTCAATCATACTATTCATACATACATACATACAAATTTTTCTCCCATACTCATCCAATCTTTACACCAGCCACACCTTGCTCTCATCATTTTCTTCAAAAGAAATTTTGGCAACCTATCATTCGTATATCCTAGTATTTTTTAACATAGTTTTTATGTAAGTTCATCGTATATAGGCTGACTCTAGCAATACCTGTCTCCAAATCTAACATAAAATTAGGACAATATCTTGGACAAGAAAACATTTTTTTTATATAAAATCTTCTGATTATTTCCACCTCATCGTACTCAAAAATACCCCATACCTGAGACCCATAAGTCAAAATCGATCTTACCACTGATTCATACACTGTTACTTTAGCCAAAAAGGGTATTTCAGCCTTAGACACTAAACTCTCGAAGCCGTGTGAATCACCACTTTTGCCAAACTCTGGCTCTTTTTTAGATGAGCTTTATACGTCAACTTGGGTGTTAATATCATTCCTAAATAATTATAGTTATTCACTACCTCTAATATTCGATCATTGAGTTTCCAAGATTCCCTGATCACACCACCTCCTCTTCTGAACACAAGAATTTTGGATTTATCTAAATTTATTTGTAGATTCCACATCCTGCAGTATTTTTCTAGTTCATTAATCATCCGCTGTAGCCCCTTCGAATTGATTGCCATTAAAACCAAATCATCTGCATATAATAAAAGTCCACAAAAAATTTATAAACATTTTTTACTCCCCGTGCATGTTGGATTTTTACTATACTTGTAAGATTAAAAATGTTGTTATAGTTGAATAGCCAGTTCTCTATCCTGCCTGGAACTCGTTTAAAATGTTATTATTTTGTACCCACGAGGTAAGTCTAGTTAAAGTCAATGCCGCAATGAGTTTGGTTACTTTTACATTTAAGAAGCTAATACCTCGGTAACTTTCTGCATTCTCCATGTTTCCTTTTTTATAAAGAGGAAAAATTATTGCATTATAAAAACCCTGAGGAAAGTCTGGTTTGTCGAAAAAATTATTGGCAAGCCCAAGTACAAGCACTTTTCGGTTTTCTGGAAGAAACTTGTAAAACTCAGCAGCAATTCTATCCACTCCTGGTGCTTTATTTGGTTTTAAAGAATCTAATGCTATTTGAGGTTCTTCCATACTAAACGGCCGGTCTAAATGTTCATTGAGGATAAGTGGTTCTGCATACAGCACAGGATCTGATGTTATCTCCGTATTCAAAAGTCTTGCGAAATGTTGCAGTAAACTGTTTAAATTAACACCTTCCCCAACGGCCGAGCTTCCAAACTTATACAGACCAAAATCCAAAAGCCTTCCAAAATTCTTTTGGATTCTTCGTATTTCTTAAACTCAATAAACGTAAGAGTTACTCTAGAGAAGTTAAAAAATCTTGGTTTTAGGGGTCAGTTCTCATTATGGCTGTCATCTTATTTACATTCTAGGAAGGTCCTCGTTAAACTTAGTGACACACGATTAGATTATGGTGATATTGATATTGGGGTTCCTCATGGTTCAATATTGGGGCCATTAATATTCCTATGCCATATTAATGATATACCCAGATATGTCAGTTCAAATAACATATTTATGTATGCAGATGACACAACCATTGCTACATCTGCTTCAAGTGCCGAGGAATTACCTGTTCAACTGAATGTTATATCAGAAGATTTTACAGAATGGTGTAAAAAAAATGTTTTAATTGTTAATGCTAAAAAAACCACAAACATGCAATTCTACTATAGATCAAACTTAAGTTACTAGTTTTCTATAAAAGTAAATGATAGCCTGGTTCATTCTGCAACTTCCACCAAACTTTTAGGTTTGTATCTTGATAGTAACATGAGCTGGTAATCTCAAATTAATCATGTTTGCAAAAGGATAAATAGTAGTTATTACGCAATATTTCATTTAAAAAGCTTTCTTAAAAAGGAACAGTTATTGAATGTTTATTATGCAATTGTTCATTCTCACTTAGCCTTCAATATAAATCTTTGGGGTAGGGCTGTGAATGCTGCAAGAGTGTCTCTCAGAAAAGGATAATTCGGTTAATTTTTAATTTACCATACAGGCATTCATGTCTACAATATTTTAAAGAATACAACATTTTAACAGTACCTACCTTCTATATATATTTTTAAATGTATACTACATATAAAAGCCAATATAACTACTTTTCATTTAAACACTGATTATCACCAGTACCCAACTGGCAAAATGACTTGATCAGAGTACCAAAACTAGACAGCACGATTTGAAAAATCCCAGTATTATATGGGTATAAGACTTTTCAATCATCTTCCTTCTTCTTCATGTACCATGTCTTTTCAGAACGTTGGTTACCATCATAGCTATTTTAATTTTATTCACTGCCACCCTAATCCCAACAGTATTAAATCTGAAATGAATTTAAATAAATTTCGAGGTAAATTGAAATCTTTTCTATTGCAAAATTGTTTCTACAGTGTAAATTAATATATGGGCGATGTAAATAATTAATCCTATGTACTTTTTATCTTTTTATTCTGAAATTGTGATATTTTATAATGTATTTATATTTTTATTCGACTATCATATCCTATATCATGTAAATGATCTTTCAGGATGAATCAATTATTATTATTTCCCAGATTTAGCCATACGGCTCACACTCCCTCTAAGGGGAAAATTCACTCATCCCAGATACCTACTGTATCAAAAGGATTGAGCTCTGGTGGGACTCTTTCCGTGTTATCGAGCCCTAGGTGACTTGGTATGTTGGAGTATCTCCCAAACATTTTCGTACACATCTGGACGTCGCGAGTAGTACAGCTTTCTGCATGGCCTTAAAAAGATGTTCATTTAGACCCAGCTGTTTTATGTTCGCTAGGAGATTTTTGGGAATAACACCAGTAGTAGATAGAACAATAGGTACTGTCTGGGTACTTTCCATTCTCCATTGTCTCTTGATTTGTATTACTAGATCTCTATACTTGGCGATCTTTTCGTTGTATTTAACACGCAAATTGTTAGTGTTAGGTATCGCCACATCAATAAGTGTTGTTTTCCTGGTAATTTTATTCACTAGTATGAGATCCGGTCTATTATGGACCACTGGTTGGTCTGTGTTGTTAGCTTGTAGTTGTCATTTTCAAGCATTCTGTCAGGGACATATTGATAATAAGGAAGATGGTCGGTTTAGAGAAGTCCCAGTTTGTCAGATAGTTCTTGGTGGATAATCTTCCCTACTGAGTCATGGCGTTTTTTATAATCGGTACCGACAAATGTCTGGCAGCCACCGGTAAGATGTTGGATAGTTTCTTGGGCTTGGCACCCAATCGGCATTCCCCATTTTGGACTTAAGGACTTTAACAATATATTTTAGGTAATTTTTAGTTAAAATTACCTGATCCTGAGTGGCAAGTAGGAAATCCTCAGTCTCGGGAAACATCTTTCCTGATGTTAACCAATAGTTCGACGATGTATTGACGACATATTCTTGGCTGATCTCATTGAGATGTCGCCCATGCAGAGGTTTACTCATCCAGGTGCGCATTTTTTCTTGCTAAGTTAGGTGGTTTATGCGCATTTCTTGTTCTCTCAGTTTAAGCGGCGTTGTACCATCTACTGCGCAAATTGCTCGATGTAAAGTAAATGTCTCAGCCTGTACTTGAAAATAAGTTCTTAAATTAGCAATTAGTTTATCCAATTGCTCACCTATATCCATAAGTCCTCTTCTCACTTGATACTGCGGTAATGTTGTTCTCTCTACTGCACTGCGTGGATGATGTTTTTGTGCCTTTGTGAGAAGTGTTCTTACTTTCCGCTGAAGACCCTCTATATCCGTTTTTGACCACTTTATAATACCAAATGAGTAGCTCAGCGCGGAACAGGCGTACGTATTTAATGCTTTAAACAAATTTTTACTATTAAGATATGACCGATT